AGTTATTCCTTTCTTAATACTTAACCCACGTTTGATTTTTCATTAACAAGAGACATATGTATATCAAAACTTTATTTACACGTAAATTGAAACAAGTTTTGTAAAAAGGAAGAAATCTTTTATTATATGAAAAAGGAATTATTATTGTATTCAATCAGACTATATCACTTATCTAGAAACCTCATGTAAAGCTAATAATTTGATTTTTCATCTTATGAGAATCCATTTCATTTAGCCTTATATGAATGCAGTGAAGGCTTATATCATTAGGTCAACTTTTAAAATTATTTTAATACACATTTAAATATATAATAAAAATTAATAAATGATATTTTTATAAAAATTATAATATTTAATATTATTGATATATTAAATTTCATGATTTTAATAAAAAATATATAATTAAATGGCATTGGCACTAAACAAAAAGTTTGGGCATTGCACTTCTTTTATTTTGCCTTTTGAGGTTAAAGGGGTGTCAGCTTTTCCAATGTAAATCTTTTCTCCCAATCAATGGCTTATTATTATTGAATTATCTCACTTCATTTTCTAAATATAGTTTATGACAGAGTCCCCAACAAATCACAGCCCTAATAATTCAGGAAGGATACTCATATACAAACATATCTGCAAGCTTATGCAACACAGTAATCATTAATAAGTTCAACAATTTTAAATAAAAATTATTTTAAAATGTTGTTAATGTTTTGTATCTTTTAATGCATTTTAATATTATTTTATTATAAAAAAAGCACTTTTGTTTGATTCTTTAACTATTGTCTTTAACTATTATAAAAAAAGCAACAAATGATCATATTTATACATTATTTTTATGTTATTTTTCAAATAATGTTATATTTGTTTTGATTTATATTTATAAAATAAAAACTATTTTTATCTATCTATCCAAATAAAATTTTATAATTTTTAACTATAATACAATAGAAAAATAAATTAAAATGAATACAATAGAAAAGACAGGTGTTCATTTCAATAGTACACTTTCATTTGTAAGTCTATTATTTAGAGAAAATTTAAGTGCAATTTTCAAAAATATGTTTAGTTATATTTTAACTAAAACTAAATTTTAACCTTGATAATTTGTAATAACTTTAAATATTAATCTTTTATAAAAATAAAATTTTATTTTTAATTAAAAAATAAAAATATCTGAAAAATAGAGTTGAAATTGATTACTTGTACTTGGCCACATATACATGCATATGTGAAAAGGAAGACAAAGAAATAGAAGTGGCACATGCAAAAGTCACAGTACTCTTAACAGCTAAACATCATTAAAATGGAGAGTGGCACCCATCTTCAGTCTCAATCCCTTTACCTATTTCCACTATTTATGCGGAGACATTGTTAAACCACATGTCACCCATTAATTACTTTTAAGCTTTTATTCTATTCATGTTTGAACTTCCCGCTCTTTTTCTTTAATCATGATATATGTAAATAAACCTTGAGTTAAATATTTTTTTGAGTCTTTATAAATTTATTATTTTTTAATTTAAACATTATAAGTTAAATAATCTTTAAAATAAAAATATTAATGAAACAAATATTTTTAATTTTTTAACTCGTAAAGATATTAATTAATGTTTGTTTAAAGATATATATTATGGGGTATACTTTTTTTATATTGGTGTAAATCTAATAACTTTTATATTCGATCTGAATTTTTTATTTAACTTATATTTAACGAGTTATAATTTATTATTTCATTGTCTTATATGTAAGTTAAATAAAAAGTTTAAATTAAATATAAAAGTTTTTAAACTTAACCTTGTGAAAAAAGATCTTACTTCATATATTATTATATATTCGTTATTAAAGAAATATTATATACTTAATTGTTATTAGAATACTTTTTATATGTCACTTTAAAATATTAAAAAAATAATTTTAATTTTTTCAAAATAATATCCTTATTTAAAGATAATTTTTTCCTATTAACAACTTAAATAATCTTAAAATTAGTTATCATCTCATCACTTTTTTTATTTAAACCACAAGTATTTTTTTTTATTAAAAGTAATCATATTTGAATCAAGTACAACTGTCATTATATACATGCATAAAGTACAACTACCATTATGCATGCATCATGACAAAGTTTTTCCTTCAAATATTTAACATAACTATACAAAACTTTTTTCTGATTATTTAACACATTGGCATTTAATGAGACTCCAACTCAAATTATAAATTAAACTAGAATAACTCCAATTAATTAATCTATGTATTTGGTGGTTTTCAACAGATCTGTGTAAAGTTTTCTTTCTGAATATTTAACACAAACGTAAAAAAATCTTATTTTAAATATTTAACATAATTATATTTACTGGAATTCAAACTAAAAATCATAAATTAAACTAAAATAAATTTTGCTAATTAATCCACATATCTAATGTTCTTTAATATAATTATATGAAGTTCTCATTTTAAGTATTTAATATAATTATATAATTTTTTTAAAAATATTTAATATAATTGCATTCATTGAAACTCAAATTCAATACCATAGATTAAACTAAAATAACTCCTATTAATTAATCCATGTAGCTGATGGTCTTCATCAATTTTATTAGAGTATTTTTGTGAAATTAATTTTTTTATTATAATAATAAAAAAACTAATTATTTTGATAAAAAAGTGTGCATTACTGAGTAATAACTAACATGGGATGGAAATAGTAAAATTTTTATGAGAAGTATTAATACTTACAAAAATGACTTGTGGTTTTAATATATTATTTATTTATTTAAATAAAAGTTATACTCAAAGTTATAATATAATTTTTTATGTAATAAAAAAAATAATTATATCAATGGATCCAATGTTTATACAAATCAGGAATCTTAGCTATATAACTCTAGCTTTTGGATCGAAGTTGTTGAACGTTTGAAACTTGGACGAGAACATTTTCATGTGATTTTTATTTTTCGTGAGTTGAGTTTCACAACAAAGTATTAAAGAAAAGTGAAAAAAGTCATTGTCTGGGGCTTCAGTTTCAAAACTTGTGTTGAAAAGAAGCAAAAAGAAAAGAAAGGTCGCATTAAAGTTCATGTCTCCATGCAAAATCACCTTTTAAAAACGTTAATTTATAGAGTCGCTCTCTACCTTACAATCTCAAACTTCCATGAGGTAAGAGCCAAACAGGATATGATCCTCTGAGCATATTATACTTTTTGATCTCGTTGATCTTAAAGATATTAAAAGTAACTTTTTTTTATTATATTATATCATATTAAGATACATTGAAATTCAAAATAAATGTAATTATATATTTTTTAACATTTTAAACATTTTTATTATTTATATGTGCTTTGGCATGTACATATATACATAACACTTAATTATTATCTATATACATTCGCAAATGGTTCGGTAAATTAGCATTTGATTGCGCCAACCAAAACCTTTTGATTTTGACTTTTACTTATATGTTCTTCGTAAGTCGTATTTATTATAGTTTGTATTGAAGTATTTTAGATTCCTTGACTACTCTTCAGTTTTATGAATCATTATTTCTTCAAATGGCATCAATTTCACAATTAAGATAACTAAAATTCGATAATTATTTTATGTCACCTTCAAAATAGTCTAATTAACGTGCTAAGAAAGAAAGGAAGATTTAAAAAAGGCAAAACAAAAAAAAAGGAATAGGATATTGTGAATAATATAAATTAATAACAAAAAGTTTGTCATTAATTAAAAGATTAAAGGAAAAAGAAATGTCGGTTTTACATTTTGTAGGTACATTATATTACTATTATTGAGATACTTCAATTTTTTGATTTAAATACTAAATATTGTCGTTAGCTAAAAAAATATATTTTAGTTGTTTTAAAAATTTAAAATATGATGATATTTTTTAATTACGCGCTCTTTTAAAATTTAGTTCAACCTACTAGTTAGGAAAAATATATCGAACGAAATAAATAAATATTAAACAAAAATATTTTATATTAATTAAATATTTTTTTAATTTATGTACGTTAACCTTAAATATTATTAGTTTTTGAGACATTTAAAATGTTTGATGTGATAGCTAACGTATCTCACAAATGATATATCAAAATGAGGTGATAGAATTAAATGTAGGTATACAAACAGTTGGATTTTTTTAGACTAGTGTTCTAAAAGTATTAATTAAAAATTTAATAAATAGAAAGTTAGTGTTAAAATTTATGTTAGAATATTGACACTGTAAAATACTGTCATCCAGCAAGAATTATTAATTTTTATAATAATTAATTAGTTAACAGTATAAATTTTTTATTAACAATTTATCAAAATTAAACTCATGTAAGAAATCATAACTGGAGTCATGGGTATTTGTATTTGTATTTGGTTTGATTTTTATTTCTTATTTAACTTTAAATGACTTCTATTTTTTTTTATCTTTAATTAAATTTTATTTTAGTTTTAAATTTCGACTACATAGTAGGTTATTTATTAAAGTGAATAATCATGGGAAGAATATATAGAATTACAATTATAAAAACAACTATAAGCCATTAAACTTGTAGTAAAGTTCATCAAACCAAAAACATAGTTACTTATAACCATTAACTTTTCTCAATATTCTCCTCTTCAGAAACCCTTTCTCTTAATGGGCTAAATTTATTTTGTGACACACTCAAATAAAAGAAGTGTTTATGCAACAACTACCCTAATCAAAGCTCATAATAAATATGAATAAACTGACAGAGAAATTTTAAAAAATAATAATATAATATACTAATGTGTAGTACTTTACATTACATGAATTGAATAGAGAGAGAAGGGGTAAAGTTGGGTGTGGATTCCTCTGTCAAATATTGTCTTTTAATGACCAATGAATTGGCAGTCTTGTCGAGGGGTCAAATTCTTCATGTGTGACCCTACAATCGAAGGGGTTCAAGTTCAAACCCAAAACACGTGGACCCCACAAACCATCACGACAATGTCACGTGACACACTACTTTAGAAAACGACGCCGTCCCAGTTCAAGCAAAGACATGGACCCCACTTCCCACACTTCCACAAAAATGCATAACCATAACCGTTTCATGCACTAACGTGTCCCATATGTTCCCTTCAATCTCTGCCACCAATCCTTTTCCTTCTTCTTCAGTTCCATTTTCATCTTCATCTTCCATGTCTTGTGCTTCAATCAACGCATCAATATCTTCCAAAACCTCACACTTGGCACGTGGGAACTCCTCAACCCTTTTCCACACTCTCTCTATCAACCCTTCAACGCTTCCTTGGTAGCAAACACCCTTCAAGAACCAAAGCCTTTTTTGGTTCCCTTTTGGCTTTATAATTTCCTTTAACACCTCATCCACCAAATCAAACAACAACCTTCGGTTCCAACGTTGACCCAGTTCGTTTTTTGAGGAAAAGTTGCGATTTTTGTCGTTGTTGCGGTGTTCTAAGTGGTGGAAGATTGATGGGTCTAGTAGATGAGTTGGAGAAAACCATTGGTTGAAGGACAATGTTGTTGTGGGGGTACCCTCTTTGTTTGGGGTAGTGGTACGGTTAAGGATTCCTGTGATGTACTGAAATTCTGGTGTGTGGTGTTTGGTTCCGGTGATAGAGGCACCGTTAAGTTTGTTTTCTGATGTGTTGGTGCTTTCTCGGGTGGCGAGTGTGCTTGTTCTTTCTTGTTTGTACCTCTGGCGTGAACAACTAGACAACTGTGAGATGCTTTTGGACTCTTGGGTATCAGATGCCTGTGACTGTTTTATATAATTTTAAAAAAGCGAATTTGGCAAATCATAAAAAGAAAAAGAAAAAAAATGTTAAGTGCATATTTTGGCAAATGATTCATTTTAAGAGCTACTCATTTTGTAAGTTTTATCTTTTCAGAAAATTAATGAAACATTGTTGTTTTTAAGATGACCTAAATTAAACACACATTAAAAATATATACAGAAAAAAAAAATGGAATACATGATGGAAAAAGTTTAAAAATTGAAACTACTAAAAGAGTGCTGCTATTTAATTAGAAGTATGATACACAAAATAGACACGAACCAGTCTTCTAATATGTTTGCATATTTTAATTTTATATTAGGTTTGTTTATTTATATTTTTAGAAAATGCTTTTTGTAAATACAGTTATTATTACGTTATTTTCATATGCTACTAAAAATAATATCTTTTTATTATTTTTTCAAAAATTAAACAAACACACCGATAAATTTTGAAAGTTATTTTTAAAAAAATAAATTATGTAAATAAATAGTAAAATAAAGGGACTCCTTTGGGTTAGTGATAAAAAAGTGATTAGTTTTTAAAATCAGTTAAGACAAAACTTTAAAATAGATTAATAAAATAATTGGCGACTAAATGCATAAAATTTAAAAATTGAAAATTCAAGGGTACCTGTTTTGAAGGGATTTTGGTTGCTGGAGGAGAAGGATCTATCTTGACAGGGAGAAGATTTGGTACAGTGTTGATGTTGTTAAGAAGATTGCTTGACAGTGGATGAGTTTTCTTGCTTTTGGTAGTTTTGATGTCACTGACTCTTGTAGTAGGTGATGTTGGACGAATGATAAATGGTTCTTCTTGCTTGTTTCTGATTATGTCTGTTGTCTGTGGAGGCCTTTTGAGCCTTGAGTTGAACTTCTCATTGGTGACCTTCTTACACTTTGTGACTGATTTCTTGTTATGAGACTCTTGTTGCTCAGACAATAATGCTTGAGGCTTTGGCTTTGTAAAAACTCTTGGAAGCTGTGGTTGAGTGTGTGGAGTTGATGGTAGTTTCAGCATGTTTTGATCCTTTGGGTTGAGTGGTGATGGTGTAGTTGTGCTCGGTTTGTGCTTATTGGTGTCAATGAATCTAAGCCTTGGAGAATAGGAAGACGGGTTTGAGTGTTTTCCTGGACTAGTCTCATCAATTGCTTTCAATGATGTTTTGGGAGATTTTTTGCTTCTTAATTGGCCCACAAATTCTTCTCTTGTTTTGAGAGTGTTGGTGATGTCTTGCCCAACTTTTCTACTCACACTTTCCTTAACCTGCTTCACAATCTGTCTGGCATAGTGGCTTGGACTCTTGCTACTATTGTTCTCATCACATTTCCTTTTCGAAAATGAGAACCTTGGAAGCTCCAAGTCCTCACCAAGGGTCATGTTCTCCTTGTTCATTTGGAGTGAAAGTCTGTGATGATAATCAACATCCGATCTTCTTGCAGAGGATATTCTAGGAGTCTCAGGCAAGGAACGAGAAGCTGCAATGTCACTACTGTCTATGCTGTTTCTTGGTTTGGTTTGGATGTGTTGCTTGTGTCTCAAGTGGTGCAGATGAGGAACATTGCCTTGTGGGTTTGGAGTGGAAAGACATGAAGAGGAAGAAGAAGACGAAGAAGTAGGTGAGTGTGCATTTGGAAGAAGATCAAGACCCATTAATCTTGCAACCAAAGTTGGTGTCTTTATCCCTGGAGAGCTGCTGATTTCTGAGGATATATCATTCAAATTTCCACCACCCCCACCATTTGTTCTTGTGCTTCCACTTGTCTTAATTTGTATGATATTCTTCTGGGTTTTCAAAACCAACAAAACTTGTTTAAGTGGTCAAAATAATCACCATCATTACTCACTTTACATAATAAACTAACAAACCAACTAGGAGTGTGTGAAAAGTAACTCGTAAAAATTAGTGAAAAGCAAGCCTGGCAGGTTAATATATATAAACTTAAACTTACTGGGATTTTAAAATTATCTTCTTTTGATGAAACTGTACCATTACCATTTTCTGATTCCAAGCTGTTCCTAGGTGCTTCAGCACCTGAATTATACAAAACCATAAGAGAAAGAAAAAAAAAAAAGAAGAGAAACAAAGGGGTGGTTTGTGGAGTGTAATGAGAACAAAACAATAATAATAATAATATACCTTTAGGGACTGTAGAATAGTCTTCTGAAATGCAAGATGGTGGCTTGAAAGAGGCTTGTTGTTGCTGTTGTTGGTTGATGGTAGGAAAGTTAAACGGGTGGAAATCAAAGAAGTGAAAAACGGCACACATGCAACCTGAAGAAGTTGGTGTTTCTGCTTCAGCTCCTCCACCTCTCTTGGATGATTTTCCAGTCCAATACCACTCCTTACCCATAATTGGTAAGCTTATGCCTTTGCTCAACTTTTCAACCAAGAAAGATGATATGGAAAAAGGGTTGTCAAGTAAGTGATGAAATCAGAATGAAAATGACACAATAAGCAGTAACCTCAGAGATAGAGAGAGAGAGAGAGAGAGAGAGAGAGAGAGAGAGAGAGATGCAAGCGTTTGAGGTGTTAGGCAAGAAAAGCTAGAAAAACTTTGTGGGATACGCAGGTGAAGAAGCGAGAAAAGCGGATCCTTGAAGCATAAAACGGTCACAGTGTAAGGAATTAAGTACACTGAGCTGAGAACACAATCTTTATACTTTTTTTAATATGGGAACAAAATACATGTATATTTTTATTATTTCAAATGTATATAATAATGATAAATAATAAAAAGTAATATTTTTTATTTTATAATATTTAATATTATTATATTTTAAATTTTATAGCTTTTATTAATAAAATTATTCTGTGTCTTTAAATATATTAAAACATAAAATATAAAAAGTGCCACGAGTCTTTTCTTTTGAAAAACATAATATTTTAAAATTACTTAAATAAATAATTTTTTATTAAAAATGGACTTTTTAAAAAATATTGTTACATAAAAAACTTTAATTAATTTTCCATAGATTAATTTTTATACTATTTACAACTTTTCATATTATTTATCTATTTTTTGAAAGAAAATCCTTTTTTTTTTTAATCTTTTCAGAAGTATGCAGTTGTTCTTTGTCCACCTTTTAATCTTTACAGCACTCACTTTCAAGGTTGTATGAGACCAAGAACAGAACCAGCCCTGCTCTGTTATTGGGAACTGAGATGGTTAAGAAATTATTAAGAATTGAAAGAGATGACGACATGACCTTTCTCTTTCTCTGATTCTCCTCCTTTGTTAGAGAAGCATAAATGGCATATCCTACCCCAAAAATATGTTTTTCATTCTTAATTTTGGAATTAAATTCATATTTTTATTATTCTAGTTTTTTATATTTTAATTTTATTCTAATTATTTTTATAATAAATAATTCTAATTATTCATTTTTAAAATTTTAAAAATCATAGAATTAAATTTAAAAGAATAAAGTTAAAAAATAAAATTAGATTCAATTTAAAATTAATTTACAGATTTTAAAGTTTATGTTTGTATTTTTTAATACATTTAAAAATGTATTACAAATAATAATAAATAGAAAATAGTTATATAAAATTTCATAAATAATATCAATTTTTACCTATTTTAAATAAATTATATCTTACGATGACGTAGAGGTACAGTTTTCTATCCCGGGTGAGTCGTACCGTGATGTGATTCCCGTTCGTACCATAATGTGATTCCCGCATGGGTACAGTTTCTTTAAATTTGTGTTTAAATATTTATTAATTTATGTTTCTTCTAACTTATAATTTTTCTCTTCAAATTTTATTTATAAATTATTTATAATTTTTTAAAATATTCCCATAACTTAACTATTTGAATATTAATAATATAATTATAATTATGAGTAATTTAAACACTTATATTATTTACTATATTTTCATAAAATATAAAATTAATTAATCTAATAATTAAATTATCTTGTATAAATATTTATATTGAATTTTATGTAATTTGAAAATTTGTAAGTATATTATTTAAAATTTATATTTGAAAAATATATTATTTATTAAAATAAAATAATATAATAAAATACTTCACAATTTTATTTTTTATAAAATTAATTTAGAACCTTCAAACTAACCGTTAGATTGACTAATTTCATTGTATATAAAATAATTAAGTAATATAAATATACAAATTTGATATCAGGTATAACATACTTAAATGAATTAATCTTCTTTTATATATTAAAATTAACTTTTCTATTTTTTTGAAAAATTTTATTATTTAATTTTTTAAATTTTGAATTGGTAAATTATTTCTAACTTATACGTTAATTTTTTATTTTTTTTTTCATTATAGTCATGGTGACCTCGTTGAACATGCTCACTTTCTATTTAATTATTGTTTTCAAATCATCAGATAATATAGTTGGAAACTGCTCGAAAATATAAACTCATCTCAACAGAATGTCCATTAATAGGCCCCAATTGTTTGGTAACTTTATTTGTTTTTTTTGTTTGTTTGTTATTTTCTTAGATTTTGGACTTTGTGTAACCGTTGAAGAGTTAGATTTATACTTTGGTTATGTAATAGAAACTTTAGTTTTGATATTATAAAAAATTAGAAAATAACTGATTGTGATTGAGTTATAAATTAATTCTAACAAGTTATCATATTTTAGAATGATAAAATTATAGAAAATTGTGCCAAAATATTAATAAATTTATCATATTACTTGGAAAGAGTTTATTATTTTATTACTTGGTTTCTAAACATAGTTGTCACTTGTTAGGTTTCTAAATGACAAATTTATCATTTCTATATTTGACAGATTATAAACAAATTATATGATTATGAACTACTTATTTTTTGTTTATTTTTTGTTTTATTCATTATAATTATTATGACTTTATTGAGTTTGTGTGATACAGTCTGTATTTATTTACTATTCTTCATATCATTAAATAACAGAGTTACAAGTTACTGAGAATAATTAATTTCAATAAAATGTCATTGATAGATACTAATTTAAATTTTGTATAGTTGTTAATTAAGGAATGAATTCTTTACTTTAGTCATGTATGAGATGGTTTGATTTTGATATTATAAGAATTTAAAATTCAATTGACTATGGTTAAGTTATAGATTGATTTAATTATCATATTTTAGAATAATAAAATTAAAGAGAAAACTGTGTCAAAATTTTGATAAATTTATTATATTATTTATTTTAAAAATTTATTATTTCATGTATTAATTTATAAATAAAGTTATCAAATTTAAACTAATTTAACTTGTGCGTTGATAATAAGCTAATTTTAGGTCGTAACATTATTATTCATTCCTCGTTAACTTGATGAGTGTGAATAAATTAATTTTCTTTGTGTAGCTTGAATTGAATTATGTTGTGTTTCTCTTCTTGTGGTAAATAGAAAGATATAACTAAATAGTAAAAACTACAATTTTTTATTAAATAAAGAAATAATAAGATTGATTATGCATGTATTAATTAATTAATTTATATATTTATTTATTTATTTTGATCAAATAAAATTTAAGCTAATTAAACAAATTAATAATCAGCTTCGAATATTATTAAGGATTTGTTAAGCGAAAATGTAATGTTTTTTTCATTTCAATAATAAAAAATTAAAAAAACTATTATTCATGCTTGATTAATTAAAACAAATTAATAAGAAAAAAATAATTATGTTAAATATTTTTTAAAAACATAATTATATATAAGTTATAGTAGATGAATAAACCTATCTTTTCCATGAAAAAGATTTCTTCTCTCTAATTTTTTTACTAACAAAGAAGAAAGAAATTCTTTTATGTGAAATTAGGGATAAAATAGGTTAGATTGTTCATTAGAGACTGTTACCCTAAACCAGGTTAAGTTAAACTTAGTTATTAATCTGTACAGGCTTTTTAGACGAATTAAAATCCTTTCTAACTCTTTATTACTTTTTCTTTGGAGCCAAAATTCTGACCATACATTATATCATCTTTCCTTCTCAACTGTTGAGTAACAATCATATTAATGGACGATATTTTTGCCAAAACTTCTAAAATAAAAAACTGAATAAAACTTCTGCATATTTTTCCTGACTAACCATTTATAAACATGAGTAACCTATTAATCTATTATTACTTCCAACGTACTTTCGTGATAAAGTGAATTGTTTATACTTTTTCTACTACGTACAATGAAAAATTGTTTGAAGTTTTGTTGCTGTACTGCATGATACGTATACGATCCCACTCGTGACGGTGTTGACTTGCCTGTTCAAATTCTTATAATGTATGAATCATAAATATGAAAGACTTTCAGATAGGTTTTCTATTGACTTTTCTTGATATAACCTTCGGTTTGAATGCAGAAGGTAATTCGAAAAAAACCTGTTCCCATGGTAAGAAAGACTGAAAGAGACTACACAGCCATGATTTTTTGTTGTTACTCCATTTTCCCTTCGTGTACGTCCCCTTAGATCCAAATATTAATTTCAATATCTTTTGGCTTCTTTATAAAACTAAAATGTCATGACTCAATCAAAGTATTGCGTTAATAACGAGTTGCACTAAAAAGATAGGAATAACATTTCAACATTTAAAAAGATAATTGCTAAAAGAATCCAAGTCACAAGTTGAGTTGACAAAATAATTAACCTAGTTAAGCTCATTGAATTAAAGAATTTAAAATTTAAATTATTTTTTTATTTTTTCTTTAAGTAACCTATCCATACTTTTCTTAATTAAGTTTGGACCTGATTTATTTCAATAAAAAATTGTGAATTGTAAACCTATTTGAACTTTAGTTTCAAGGTTCAAATAAATAAAAATATACCTTGTTTTTTTATTTGACAGTATAAAATTTCAACTGAAACGAGCTGATATAAATTGAATAACTTACTACGCCAACTTTAAACATAAGGAGGTCAATCTCACAATAATTTTTTGAAAAACATGTTAATTATAAATAAAACCTAAAAAAGGTGAAATTATCGTTGTAACTTGGTTTGATTATGTCTGAACTTACAAACTTTGATATCATTTTTTTCAAAGTTTAACTCCAATTAATATCATTTTAATTTGCACAATTTTCACCAATTTTTTTTTTTAATTTGCACAATAATCTGAATCAACAATATGAATTTCATATCGGGTGCTAACTTAGGTTGATTTCTTTTTTGTCGTCTTTCAAACTAAAAGAAATGAACTTAATGAAAATACATATTGATATGATATATATTTTGGTCATCATATAATGATCTTATAATTTAAAGTTTATTTCCTTTTATAATTACTTTGAAAGTTATATTAAATGTATTTTCTATAATTATTTTCTGTAGATCATCCACGTTGAATTTTAATAAATAAGCTCGATCCAGGTCCTACAATACAAG